AGGTGAAAACTAGAACATGATGGTTAGGCTTTTAAAAAAAAATTCTGGGTTTTTGTATATGTTTGGCATATTTTACATGATATCAAAGAACAAGGATATTTGGACTTTATGTTAAGAACCAGGCTGACAAAGTTACTTGTGGAAATAGGATTTATCTACGTATATATTTTATGAAGTAACAAACAATATTTAAGGAATATTTCAGAAGGAAATATTCTGCTGTTGAAAAGTAATATTTCCAACAGTACAAAGCCATATTTTCCAATATAGTCCAGCCCCTTTTTTTCTTTTTCTTCTTTTATCCTTTTTTATCCTCTCTCTCTCTCACACAGACTATATCCATATAAAATAACTGTAATTAGCTCATGATATAGCAGGAACAGGGTTTCAGGATATTGGCCATAGGCTGTGCATCCTTTCTTTTCTTGACTATCAGTTGGAATCCTATTCAATGCTGAGAGTGACTGCAAATTGAAACTTTGGTAACTTACAGAAGAATTGGTTGCGTTTCAATGCAGTTCTAAAGGGACAGGTATTCATCCTGTGTCATGCCTGTTAGTGTTTTGATAGAAACATTAAGTGGTACATTTTTCAAATTTTTAAGTGCCATAGAAGCCTAAATTGTACTTTGAAAAAGTATTTAGGTATCTGGATTTTATTGGCTTCCAGGGGCCAACTGTACTAAGAGATTCTGTCAGATGCTCCAGCAGTCAGTGTTGCAATGCCTAATTTAAAGGTGCCTGGCTACCTAGTGGAATCTGTTGCCTGGGAAGGTATGGGTTAAGAATGAGATCTATAAAAGCCAGCAAGTTGAGTAGAGATATCTTTCCTTTTCCATACGGAAAGATATGGCCCTTAAATTCTGACCTTCTTTGGGATTTAAAGGGCCTAACTCAGGGCTATTAGGAGAGGTTTTCCTTCATATGGGTAGGAAAGCATTTTCATAATCCTGACCTGTATCCTGGATTTAAAGGCATATCTTTGTATTCACTCAGATAATTGGGAATGTTTAATTCTATTTTTTGCTGAATAACACCATGAACAGAATCAAATATTATATTATATGATTAATTGACAGCTGTTCTGCATACTCTGATTTTATTGCACTGAGATTCACCAGTAATAACCACAACCAGATCTGCCAAAGGACTTAGGCAATGCAGTATATTTATAAACCTTTAGGCACCAAGCACTCAGTATTTGGTCCCTGCATAATCTATGGGGACTCATGTACTTCCTAATTTATTCACAACACACAGTCACCTAAACTAGCCGGCAGGAAATGCTGAGGGCAGTTTTGGGTCTTATGTCCTGCGCTCCCCAAGATATATATTATTGTTTTCTACAAGAATGCATTGGATCCTATTTGGACTTCACAGTCTGAACTCTGTCCTGAAGATAATTGTCTAATCCCTATCAGAGAAATCAGTGGATATTACTTTGTACCAAAACATGACCAGAGGAACAGCATACACTGCATTCCTTTCAAATGATAGCTTAATAGTTAGAACACTCATTCAAGATGGCCGCGCCTATATGCACGCTTTACTGTGGAACAGACTTAGTTGTGGAGTAAAGCATCACCTTCTACATGTGTGACAACATTAGGCTGCAGCAAACTAATTAACACCACCATAAGATAGTACTATCGGGAACAGTACTATCTTATGGCAGAGTAGTTAACTGCAATTAAATGTATGTATAGATGCAGACTGTAGATGTAAATTGCACCCAGTCAGTCCAACCAGCAGGCGGCCACACTCCTACCTGCTGCCTAGCCACATGTCTCCACACTTTCAGCACCCTCGTGCCCCAACCAGCCCCTCTACCACCCAGTGCCACCACCCAGAGCCTGGGGCAGAGCAGGGCAGGAGCTTCCCTGGCATAAACTGCTCTTCCCGAGCTCAAATCACTGCTGTCCTGGGTGCATGTGTAGATGCTGTGCCCAGGAGTAGTTTATTCAAACTCAAACTGTTCTAGAGTTTGCTGCTTTGAATTAATTGCATGTGTAGATACACCCAATGAGTGTTAGACATAGGTTTATGACTATTCAACCAAGCAGAAGAGAGAGAAAGAAAGACAGAGAAGGAATGTCTTGACTAACTGGAAGAAGAGACATTTGGTTTCTGATACTGCATCAGTGATTATTAACCTCTTTTACATTTAAAATGTTATTAGATAAAACATTAAAAAAATAATCAAGTCAAGAACCTCCCTGGTAGATGAGTATTGTAACTATTAGTTTAGCATTACCTTGTCTTTTCTACTTCCCTTTCACTCTGGCTGGGCCAATTACTATTTATACCTTCTATGCAAAATAAAACAGTGTCCACAAGAGGAAGCAGAGAATGTTTCAGCCTTGAATAGCCTACTGGTTAGGCCATTCTGGGATGTAGGAATTTGAATATCCTCATACGAAAGTGAGAACAGAACCTTGTACGTTCTGGCATCTAAGTGGGAATTTTTGTGATCACAATTTCTCACTTAGGCATCTTAAACAGGCACTAAGTTGGACTGTGTGGCTCTATTCCCAAGACCAAATGAAGCATCAGGTTTGGTTGACATACCAGGTAGTTAGTTATTTACAAATAAAATAGGGGGCTTCTCCTGAAGCAAAGGAGAACATGAACAAAGTGAATATTTACTCCTGATATGTTGTTAATCTCACAAAATAAGTCAATGATTAACAGCAATTCCAGATTCTTTGGCCATGTTTAGATTGCAAATATACCATGCCCAACTGTGGCACCCAGTGGCACCCTGCCTAGACAGAAAGAAATACAGCTAAGTCCACATGATGCTGAGGGCAAGCCAACTGGCACTGATTTTCAGCAGTTCTAATAAGCCTGCCCTCAGCTCAGTAGGAACACAATTAAAATTATTTCAATCTTCATAGTAGAAAACATGGAGCAACATATTTTGATGGTCCTGCTTTGAGCAGGGGGTTGGACTAGGTGACCTCCTGAGGTCCCTTTCAACCCTACTTTTCTATGATTCTATGATATTTGGCTACTTTAGGTCTGCAGTATAGACATGGATGTATTTTAAAGGGTTTTATGATGCCAGTCCTTGGATTTATAGGTGACATGCTTGGATTTAGGGATTGGCAGCCACTGGAAAGGTACAAGGAGGCCAAACATGAAGGCTGCACCCGGATGAGCTTGGATGTGTTGTATGTGGTGCCACACCCTGCACATGCAGGCATTCCTTATGCTGCTACCTTGCAGCATGGGTGGGCTTTGACCCCAGGAGGTCCCTGAGTTAAAAATCTACACCTTTCAAATACATTTCTTTGTATGTTCTCTATTACAAGGAATCTTGAGATTTAAGTGAAAACTAAAAGATAATGTTTTGGCTTTTAAAAAAATTAATTCTGGGTTGTTGTATATATTTGGCATATTTAACATGATATTGAAGAATCAATATTTGGAATTTATATTAGGAACCAGGCTGAGGAAGTTACTTGTGGAAATTGGATTTATCTATTTATATGTTTCATAAAGTAACAAACAATTTTTAAGAAATATTTCAGAAGGAAGTATTCAGCTGTTAAAAAGTAATATTTCTAATGATACAAGGTCACATTTCCAATATAGCCCAGACTCTTCTTTTTCTTTTTCTTTCTTTGAAAGAAAAACCAGAGCCTGGCCTGCAAGAGCCACTTTCCAGCTGCTGGCCAGGCTCCCAGCTGCAGGAGTACAATGGCTGCAGCTCCCGGAATCCCCTAGCACCCCAAGTAAGGCTGCTGGGGCCAGCACAGTTGCTGGCCCCAGCCTTCCCTACTTCACCTGGGGTAACCTGCCTTGTGTCAAAGGAAGCATGGCATAGGCATTCCCCAGGGACAGGTAGCAGTGGCACAAGATGTGCTGCTGTTTCTTTTCCCCAGGGAAACAAATGTCTGCACTCATGTGGACGTGGCCAAAGAGCTGGACTATACACCTGGCCTTGAGTAAAGGACAACACATAGTTGAGCTCAGAGAATAATAGTTTTTCTCTCCTGTCCCTTATCTTTTTAAATGGAGCAGTTCACACCTCACCATGTGTCTGGACACCTGACTGGAATGATGAAATATGCAAAGCTAATGCTATTGCCATGTTCTTTACCTCTTTCATGCCCCACTTGTCCACAGTTTGGAATAATGGGCAAACATTCTCTCCTCCACTCCCTGCAGATGGGGGCACACTCTGAATAGTGGTGAGCAAAGAAATGAATGCTCTATCTATCCTTTTTTCTTTGCACAGCTCTGAAAAACTAGTCTGTATTAAGGACATGTAAGACATATCTTCCTCATAGTTTGCTTTCAGGAGTTTATGCAACTCAGTTTGAAATAAAATCTAATATTTTGTATGTAAATAATCTTTCATGAAAAATATTCTTCTGTGGACAACAGCTTTTATGATGATGACGATTTGAAGCTTAAGAGATGCAAAATAATATATTGGATATTCATTTTCCACTTAACTTCATGAATAGCTGTTGACCTAAGGCACATTGCATTACCATTGCCTTTCCTTTTTAATATTATTTTAAAATAATTTAAGCTAACCTTGTACTAGGTAAATCCATCTAAGTGCTTGAACACAGCAACACAGAATGTATAGAAGTAAAATATATTTAAAGTATACACTATGGAGATATTCAGGGTTTGCAAGTGCATGTAAATTCAAACTTTAACCTGTAAGGCTAAACTATACTAACAGAGCATCTGTCTGAAATCTCTTTACATATAATGTGCATCAGCAGACAGTAGTTGGCAGATAAATAATTGTAGAGACAAGGTGAAATTTCCAATGAGCCATCACAGCTTGATAAGTCATTTTAATTATTATGTGATGCATATTTAAAAGACAGCAATTTGTTATAAGCTCCAGGCTGAAATGTGGCAAACTTATAGGGCTGACAAGGCTTGCCAAAACAGTGAATCTGCTTCGAGGCATTGCAGCTTGATCTTTCTTACAGCTTTTTTTTTTCCCTTCTTCTTCTTAAATTTCCCCTGTAGAGGTCCTTCTGTAGTGCCATGGTAGAGGAGCTGAGGATGTCTCTGAAGTGTCAGCGTCGGTTAAAACACAAACCACAGGCCCCTGTTATTGTGAAAACAGAAGAAGTCATCAACATGCACACGTTTAACGACAGAAGGTTGCCAGGTAAAGAAACCATGGCATAGAGCTGGGTGGCCAGATACCCCAAGCACAAACTGTCGTCTTTTTTCCAAACAACTTTGCGAGAATGTTTCCTGTGGAAATATGCAACCTGTGCAAAATAAAATGAGTTACCTCATGCCGCTGTGTCTATGAACTAGAGACTCTGATCTAAGCAGTTGCAATGGCCAGACTCGAATCACAAGCATCATGGATCAACCAAGTTATGCGGGGGTTACACTGTTTGTCATGGGTTCCACCATTCTGAATGAATGAATGTTACATGTGAGTTTTGTGGCTGGTTTCAAATGCAGTCTCAGTGAGAAATTACAGGTTCCTTTTGAAGTTCAACGGTTGCCAGGAGGTGGAGAATAAGGCTAACACAGTAATTAACCACTGAAGGAGTCTTTTAAAAATAATGTCTGGGAAATTTAGTGGAGCAAGAAACAGTATGTTCTTCAGAACTTCCAAGCATCAAAGAGTTGGTAACTGCTGGTCCATATGTAGAGACTGTAACTGCCAGTTGGACAGGCGATATGAGCGTACTGGATGGGAGAAGTTTTAAAGAAAAGAAAATCAGGATCTTGTGAACAGAAAGATGAATATGGGGAGACTCACTTACTTTTGGGACTGCCTGTGCCACTGAAATAAATAATAATACATGATAGTTAATAAGGCAGTAGTAGTTTTCTTAAATTTACCTGGGTTGGGACTTTGATCTGAGAAAATCATAAGGTTGACCCAAATTTAGATGACATAAAAGTTTTCCTGTGTACAAAGGAATGTATTTTACAACCTTTAGATGTAAGGAATTACATTTTTTCTCTAACTGTGGAAGGAAGGAAGTGGGGAAACAAGTGTATTTGGCACATAGAAGGCTTGCATTTTAGCCAGAAAGGCTTTATCCCTGCTACTAATTGAACTCAATGGAGCCTGTGCAATTCTCGCTACTAGTGGAAATGGGATTGGTCACCTAAATGTGGAGAACTTTAAAAGAGGACTGCATTTATCAATACAGTCACAGTGTTAAATGAGCAAAATTCTTGAGCAGTTTTTTCAGAAAAATGTTCAGGTTTATTTGTGGAAATGCAAGATTTCTATGAAAATAGTTTTTGTATGGAAATTTTTGTAATACTTTTTATCAACAAAATAAGAACATGTGTTCCTGTTGGGGGGTGTGATGCCAAGCATGAATGGTAGTGCGTGTGCACCACCAACGTTTGGTGAAAACTATTTTTATCAAGAAAAAGGAATCTTAGAAGAGAAATATTTTCAAGTTAGATAATATAAAAGCTAGGTGCACTACCACCACTGCTTACCATGCTACACCCCTAGTTTCCACTAGGCTGATAACATACTGTAATGAACAATTGTGTGTAAATGGTAAAAGACACAGACCTCTTGACCACATTGTGATAACAGTTCAAGTGCACACAGTTTGCTGTTTGACTCCAATGCACAAAATTAAAAAAAAAAAAGCATTAAAATTATGACAGTTTTAGTTGTTGTTTTGTTTTTGCTGTGTGAATTGAGCAATATATGTACAGTACTTTGTGTTAGCACTGGTACTGATGATGATAACACCATAATGCCTGCTCCCACAAACACTTGGTACTGAGCCTATGCCAGTTATTTCACTGAGGCTGCTCACAATAACTAGCACTACACTGCATACTAAGTGTTTGCAGGATCAGGTTGCTACTTATCTAATTTACCCATCCTGCTTCTAAAGGGTTTCAGGACATAACATCAAAATGCCTCCCCACGGATGTTAAATCTTGCACCCTAGTTTAATTATTTGTAACCAGAAAATGAGGTGAAATTTGTAGTGATGGGTTATGAAGGAACATTATGTCCACAGCCAGTTATTTTTTAATCCAGACAATATTTTATTTGGCTTCCTTTTTTGGAACAGAAATTTAAATTATAGGGATAAGAAATCAGTTGTTAATAAGCAATGACTCTATATAGTCAAGGCACAATTTAATGTTATCATCCAAAGCTATTAATTTATAAAAAGTTCACATTTCCAACAAAAAAGTAGAATATATATCACCAAAACTGTAGAGACTATATTATGCAACTTGGGGGTTTGTGTCTAATACCCAGTTCCCATAAATTTTCATAGACATTGAGCTGGCCATTTTCATTGTGAATAGGGATTAAGAAAGTAAAGTTTTTGCTGTTTGTGAGAATTTCATCTCATTTATGTGATATAATGAACAGATTATCTTTGCCAGGAAAAAAAAATGATGATAAAATCCCCACATGTTCAGCAAAGGTGCTGAGAAAAAGAAAATCATAGTAATGTAATGAACATTTGAACATAAGTTCAATTTTTAAGTATATAGGGAAATCTTAACTGTCATACAGGGTAATTGAAACTCCTAATTACAATGGTTTGAAATGAAAAAAATAAATATTGGCTATTGCATTGACTGATGATTTACAATAAAATTTGTAAAGTCATGAAGTTTAATGCTGTATTATATTCAAACTAACCTTTTTTTCCCCCTCCATCAAGGGTGTTGAAATAAGCAGGACTTCCATTCTCCCCTTGATACAAATGGTTAATTTTTAATAGCATAAATGTGAGCTACAGTAAGTATGGATCTTGGTGAAAATTCCCCATATATCATTTGGGGAAAACAACCCTAAGGAATGGGAATCCTAAGATTGAATGCAATGTGGATTAACTAGCATCTCAATGACAATATACAACCTTCAATGGTACGAGCAACATGCAAAGTAATTGGTAATTGGAGATTTGTATTTAAAATCAAGAACAGAAATCATTGGCTCAACAGATTTATAATGGGATAATGGCATTTTTTTAATGTATACATTAACTCCTTATGTTATATCTGGCAATGATTCTTGTTGCTTTTTAGAGAATTAAAGCACTTAAACAATAATTACTAACATACGCTGTGTCCCCAAAGCAGCAGAAAAATGTTGCCAATAGCTATTTGTCCCCAGAATGTCAGTAGATCATTTTTCCTTTTATACTGTGGAGACAATTCCCTTTTCTGAGGGGAATTTACCCATTTCTAATGACTGCAAAGGGCAATGGCAATAATGTTCCTAGTGTCATTAAAATCAGTGGAGCTACACCAATTTACTCCAGATAAGCATCTGGCCCATGAAGATGCAAATTGGTCTTTAGTCAGTTCAGCTGTGTTGTGTGGTTTTTCATAATAGCTCAGTTAGTCCATTTATTTCCAATAACAAAGTAGTGGCTTTTTTCTGACTCACCTTTAGGCTAATTGCAGACAGCCAAAAAACCTGAGTCAGAATTAATTCAGTCTTTGCAGGTTAGTCAGGGCTGCAGAGATTGAACCAATAAGCAAATGAAAAGACATTCACTTTTGATTCAGGAAATGCAGCCACATGGCTGCAGTGGTTCAAGCTAGAAGCTGGGGTGGGGGGAGGCACTAGAGCATGGCTCGCTGCTACGTAGCCATCATGGGCTGTGTGTTCACTTCCTCTTCCTGCTGCCCTAGAGGTCTCTGGGATTTGCAGTCCAGAATCACAGCAGCAGAACTCTGCAGTGTTGCTCATCACTTCCTATTCCTGCTTTTAGGTGCCCCTGGGATTTATAGTGTACAGGTGCAGCCAGCACTAAGAGGGCAGGGCAGGACTGGGCAGGGCAGGGCAGGGCTGGGCTGGGCTGGGCTGGGCTGTACTTGGGGAAAGGGAAGTTTAATCCCCCTCCCTGGCCCCAGAACCAAGCTGGGGTTTAGTGGGGGGAGAGGGGAGGTGGGACCCTGAGCCAGCCAGTCACTGCTTCAGCTAGGGAGCAGAGGGGCAGAGCTAGTAGCTCTGTTCTCTGGAGTAGACAGCCCAGCCCAGTAAGATGCTGGGGGAGCTCTGGTTTAACTTGAACCAGGAAGGGGTCTGGGACAGAAGTTTCATAAACCAGTTTGACCTAAATCAGTTAAGTCTGATGCTACATTCAACCAGGTTTATCTTAAACCAGTTTCAGCCATTTTGCAACTGGTTTACGTGCACTGAACTTCTATTCTGCTACAGGTTTAAACCATTTTCTGATCACTTAAGCCAGTGTATTTGTAACTTCTGTCCCTAGCCTTAATGCCACTATAGAGAAGGATTTTCAAGCAGCTATAACTCAGTTATGGGACTCTACCTGGCTGATTATAATAACAGAGGTAAGTCATGAAATCTTCAGTGGAATTTCCCTTTCTTTTTACTTTAAATAACTTATTGGTCAGTAATTTTTAGGGATTCTGAAGATGCAGATCCTAAATCCTCAGATTTACCTCTTATTACATTTTTATAGCACTGTTGGTTAATGATAGACAATGATTTCAATGAAAAAAAGAAACAAAAAAGGTACTTTAACTTAATCTGTTTCTGAAGAGTCTCCTCTTAGAGAGGACTGGCAATGGAAATACTGAACTAGATCCTCAGCTTAAATGAATGAAAATAACTGATTTTCTCTTAATAAAGGATTTTGCCCATTGTACCAAATACATTCCTGTGAGAGAGACTGTTCGTGTAGTATTCCCTTGTCAGAGGTAATGAGGAACTAGTTGCAGTTTTGCAGTTTATCCCTGTTAACTTCTAGCATAGTTTCTTAAGGATGAGCATAATAAAAATATGGTCGATATGTAAATCTGGTGGGGGGGGCAGGGGAAGCCTTTCTAACCCAGCCCTTCTGTGGATCATCCATTACCTATTCCAAAAAAACGAAACCCCAGAATAATATCTTTCATCAAAATTAAGAAATTAACTGACTAATGAAGTGTAGAATGAGAAGGAAATTTAATGATGAGCTAAAAAGACAAACTAACTAAAAATATTTGAAATGGGGAAAATAACATGGTATCTTATAAAGCCAGAGTTACTAGAAATAATAGGATGCAATCACATAATAGCTCACATAGAAGTAGCAGGAAAATGCCATATAGGTCATATATTTTTAAGAATACTTAAGTGTGGTTAAAATGTATCAAACACAATTATTTATTTCATTCCCAAATTCATAACTTCATTAAAATATGTG